AATTTACTGTGTTCGGTCATGTAGTGCAGAACATAGAACAACCTGCCACCACTTGGAACTCCTCAAATCCACTGTGGCACCCTGGTGTCCTGGGAAAGATCATCAGAATTGTTGCGGAAAATGATCCAATTCCACTTCACGTATGATACATATTATTATGATTGATCGAGCAACGCTTGCAATTGGAAGGTAATGCAATGCTCTTCCACTAGATGGCAGAACGTACGTACCATTCACCTGTGTATCCACCTGTTGCCATTCACCCAATAGAAGAAGTCACGGCTACCTGTGTGTGTCAGTTTGTGTCCAATTAAACAGGCTCACGTTTCACGCTGATTAAGGCGATGTATCAGTAAATTCAGATGGGATCATCAGTATTCCTCTATTCATACTTTCTGTGGCATTTTTTTTTTGTTTAGTGGCAAGCCATCTGAGGTTTCCTTTTGGAAAAACGGATCCCTTGTCTCAGTCAAGTTTGGGAAATACTGATCCACTGTGATTTGATTTCACTCCCAAGCTGTGAGTGACCGTCTTTTTCTTATCTGACTGTGAAAGCGGATGATTTATGTGCAGTCTTTGCATGACTTTGTGTGTTATTCTGATAAGGCATATGTGTGTGTGCCAGTGTCGTTTATGAGTGTTTATTGAGACCACATATTATAGAGTTGCCTACTGATGGTCCCAAACAGTCTTCCGTGGGAATGCAAAGTCCCACTAGTTCCCAATCCCTTTCCTTATCTCAAACTTTTCCAGTATGAATTATGTACTGTATGCCCCCCACCCCTTCCCCTACACCAGGGCCAGGGGTGGCAAACCAGTCAGAGACTAAGAGCCATTTTTTTTTACTGTGTTACTGCAAAGAGCCACACACGCACACACACGCACACACACTTTTTTTGCCCAACTTTTTTTAAACCAACCTCCCACGATCGACCCGATCGCACACGTGCAAGCATACACACACACACACACACACACACACACACACACACACACACACACACACACACACACATACAAACACACACACACGACCATGCACTCGAGCACCTACGCATGCATACGCCACGACGAGCAACAGCCGGAGCGCCCGAACATAATTGAAACCTGAAGACACAAACACACAAATTCCTCCCCCCACCGACCTTTACTCCTCCCACCACACGCGGTCGACTTGGGACCAGTCTGCTGGCTCTTGGTCGATTGCGATCGACGTATTGGGCAACCCTGCCTTAAAAACAGAGGTAATTCACTGACTATCTTTGCACTTAGCACTCAGCGCCATTGTCTGCTCATGAACGGTGATTCAGTCATCTGATTGGTTGCCTTCTATGTCAATCAAGTAACGGGATTGATGATAGGCTGATGTAGTACGTTCTGTGTATTAAGCGCTGTTGTTTGAATGGCAGCGCCATCACCGACACGTTTTTGACAATTGTCGCGTGAAAGTCCGGGAGCCGCATTGAACCAGCCAAACGAGCCGCATGCAGCTCGCGAGCCGCGGGTTGGCCACCCCTGCCCTATACCAACACATCTACCACTGCTCAGTTGAATCGGCATTCTACATACTACAAAGTTCAGGCAACTAAATTGCCCATGAATATATAATAGGATGAATATACCTGTATATCTAATCTGTCCAGGATATATCCCAAATATTGCCCAGTTTTTTTTTCAGATACTATCACAGAGGTGTTATTTAACATGTTTATTGCTGTGGTTTTAATTTGCAGTGGTGTAAAATCGTGCGACAACTGTCTCTCTTTCTCTAAGGCTGTACTTTAGTGTCTGCCCACCAAACAAGCAGATTCCAGGAAGAACAGCACAGCAAGCTTGGGAGAGAGAGATCCGATGGTGATGTTTGGACGCCAACCTCAAGATTTGCATACACATCTGCGACCCGGATAAAACAGGACAGTACCAACACCAGAGCATGACTAATTGTCTCCTCACACGCGTGCATACGCCAGCCCCCTGGCCTCTTCAGAGGGGGCTGGAGTTGGTCTTTGACCACTTTGCACACACGTAAACAAGCCCACACAACACAAAGCGACAAGCTCGCTGCTTTGTCTCAATCTCTGGGGAATTCCCAGTGAGCCGCACACATACAGGTGATTTGCTTATGTTCACTAATCCTGGGGGAGGATGGGGGCGTTGAGTATAACTGTTAACCCACTACACCTGGACACACACATACGGCCACATAAGCCCACTCAGAGGACTTTCAGGTTCCTCAACACCTGACACACGCCAATGGTCAACAATATGGATGTGTTTGGTGGTAATTGTGATTCCATTTCACCTGCCAAATGGAGACCGTTAACCTTGAAGTGTCTCAAATGCCCAGCAGCTGATAAAATCTCTTGGATTCACAGCAACAACTACGCATGCTCAGCAACATGAGATATATGCAAATGTAATTAGTTGTTGCCATAATTTTTGCTAAATGAATTATAAGTGGATGTAATAATGACTAGGCGGCCTTGTAGTCGAGTGGTTTGCACGTCAACTTCACAGTGCAGAGGTACCAGGTTCAATTCCAGCTCCGGCCTTCCTGTGTGGAGTTTGCATGTTCTCCCCGTACTTGCGTAGGTTTTCTCCGGGTCCTCCGGTTTTCTCCCACATTCCAAAAACATGCATGGCAGGCTGATTGAACTCTCCAAATGGTCCCTAGGTGTGAGTGTGAGCGCGAATGGTTGTTCGTTTCTGTGTGCTCTGCGATTGGCTGGCAACCAGTTCAGGATGTCCCCCGCCTACTGCCTGAAGACAGCTGGGATAGGCTCCAGCACCCCCCGCGACCCTAGTGAGGATAAATCGGTTCGGAAAATGAATGAATGAATGAATGAATAATAATGACTACCTTAATTTGTGGGTGACAGAACCTTCAGTGGTGCCGATCGCCACCTCAAGTGGCTAAATGCTTTTAAATCAAGTTTAAATGCTATGCTTTTGCCCCAACTCGTATGATGAAGCACTTTTTAAAGCTTTTTTTTTTCTTCAAATATCTTGTTCTTGCGCTGTACGTTCTATCCATAAAATACCGGTACTTTTTGTTTCTTCAATTATCTTTGCTTTTAAATGTCTGTAGTTTATAACCTGGGTCGTTCAGTGAACCTATGGAGAGTTGCATTTTTTAGGGGGGCATCAATCATTCGCAGTTTTTCGCTCTTTACGGCAGGGCTCAGTCCCTGCGAATTGGTTACCGCTCAACTCTTTTATACGGTAAGTGAAGACAGGAAAAGCAGCTTGTTGCTCATCACTTTGCTGGTTAGAAGTCGATTGTTCCAAAAATACAAAGTCAGATTTTTTTGTGTGTGTATTTCAGACAACAAGGATCTCATGAAGCTTTGGCTTTATCTCCTTGTTTCAAGCCTCCAGGTGCAATCTGGACTATTGCAACTCTAACCGTCGTTCAATTCAGTCAGGGTTTTTCCGGACACGTTTTGCAAGTGATTTTTTTGTTTGTTTGTTTGTTTGCTTGTTTTGGTTTTAAAGCTTTTAAATATTGGCAGTAACCTTTTCCTTCTATAAATATGAAATAGAACTACATGTTATACTGCTTTACTGATTACTCTTTTTCCTTTTCACTGCACTCTTATGACTATTCCAAAATGGAGATAATTTTAAATCACAGCGTAGATTCATATTTCATTGCTATCATTGTAAAGTTGTGACCGAAGTGTACAGACAGACCTTGGTTTCTCGTGTATGTACTCATTAAAAGTTGGATCTGTGGTAATAATTCAATGTGATGAATTTGTGCTCTAAACTTGGATGACTTCAAATTGGAAAGTTCGTGACATCATTGCTCGTTGAGTTTTTATCATGCTGAGGGCAATAGCCTGGGTATAAAAAGCACTGTGTAAATACCAGCTGCCTCTCCCAATACACTACATACTGTATATGATCAGTCCGTATGCTTGTACTGCGTGTTCACGGTGCCCTAAGCAGGTGCTTGATTCCATTAATTTGAGAGCACGACGTGACGGTAGGGAATGAGCTATGGTTGAAATGGCTAGCGATATAACGGCAGCTTTAAATGTAAGCGGATTGGGGAAGTCCCTTGATAGCACACCCAGAGTGAACTGGTCTGTAAAATCCATCCTTTAATTTTCTAGCACGTATGCTGTCACGAGCGTGCCGTGGTCTGGTCCAGCCGACTCCGGGCAAGGAAAGGGGAATACCCTGGACCGTTCACTTGTCAGTCACAGGGTGCATGTAGACATACTGTACAAGCACGACATTTTCCTATATGGACTATTTAAAAGTCGTCAGTGATGCTAACTTGCATGATTCACAGGAAGCTGGACTACCCAGAGAAAACCCTCGCGGGTAAGAGGAGAACATTCAAACTCCACACAGGAAGGCTTGATCTATCTAATCCATCAAATGTAATCTCATTTACACCCACTCGAGGTACGAAGAGGTTACTGGGAACAACATTGGGTCCATTTGATTTTTTTCAAAAATCCCAACGTGAAGAAGATAATAACCACCGTTCAGGTTTTTTTTTTTTTTTTTGGTATCAATTTAAGGAATATATTATTCCGTTATGACTCTTATAACTTTTCTAACATTATACCCATTGTTCATTTTTATTTTGAAAGAGGTTTGAATTTAATTAATATGTTTTTAGAAAGCCATTGGATTTCATTGTGCAAGGGAACCTAACACTGTGGCTGGTCAGTTTATATCAAGTATCAAGTACAACTTTATTGTCAAATGTGCTGTATGTGCAACATACAGCACAGATGAAATTTCTTCCCTCTCACAACATACAACAAGAGGAGCCGCTGCGGGTGCCCGTGCCGCCATCAAAATAAAAGTTAATTGAAATATGAAAAATATTTTAAATAAGACACAAATAAGCTAGCATTCATTTGACCTCAGTGTGAATTTAGTGAGCACTACCATCCTCATTACTTGTCCTTAACCTGAGCGAGCCTTAATTAGTCGAACCTCTCCCGTGTGTACGCTTTTGTCCAAACGTGATTGGCCCGAGTGGGTGAAGTGAAGGAGGATCGGCCTACCGAGGTTATAAGAGAGGTGCCGCCTCGGTGGCACATCATACAGGTGACTGTTTGCTTTTTGATACATGAGGAGAACACATCAGAGGAGGACATTTCTACCGGGGTGAAAAGGTATGGCTTCTGATGTGATGTCACTATTGAGCCTTCACAAAATGATTGGAGTAGCGCTCACTCCCCTTTTCTCTTTCCAGGCTAACCTTAAATTTTGTTGGCTGAAATGGAGACAGTGAGTTCTATTTTTTAAATGCATGTTTTTGTTTTTTTGTTTTTGCAAGTCATCTCATGACTAGGAAAAAAAAGGTCTCTGTCGTTATCATAAGGTCTATACAGTAATTTGATATCATATGCCGATTGTCCAGAGAAACAGTGTCAGTTACAAACACAGTTACCTAAATGTTGCCTGGTGGGTGCAGTGATGCAATAACGCAGATTTGGTAGTCAAATTAAAATAAACATGGTTGCAGTGTTTCTGGCTGGCGAATAGCCACTAAGCAAACAAAACCTTGGACCAGGTTGATGCGACACACGCTCACTACTATACTGTATGTGGACGGAGGTGACAAAAATACTCACACTGAATTGTGGGGGGAAAAAAAACAAAACAAACAACTGTACTCTGGTATTCAACTCCTTAACAATGACCAAAAAAGAAATACACTTGGCAATGTACTTAAGTCGAAAAGTAAAACTGAATTTTTGCTGTTGTGCACTGCACCCATCTTCATCACTTAGGATAACGAAGGGGAAAAAAAATCTCCTTCTTATAAACTTTAATAGTACTCATAGTGTGTGTGTGTGTGTGTGTGTGTGTGTATATATATATATATATATATATATATTTATGTATGTCTTTATTTTTTAATTCATTTTAATGCAAGCTAACATTGGCTCAGACTGTTATGCTTTCAAAACAATGTGTTCCCCTTAGCTTACTAATGACAACAAAAAAAGGTTTAACAACCTAATGATAACAACTGACAAAATACACGTTATCTGTATGTGTGTTTTTTCAAAAAACAGAAAACAAATTGAATGCCAAAAGCTGGTACTTTTTAGGCCGACACGATAGCATATTTGGAGCCACCTGCGCCAAATTATTCTCTTAAATAAGATCATCAGCGAGGAATATCTTGCTTTTCTAAATCTAGTGCATCAGCAGCAGCAGCAGCTCGCTGGTTCACTTATAATTCCCACAGGACGTCAATCATTAATCAATCTGGATTTCAACTAGGGCCTTACTGATATTTTTTCTTATGCCAATGCTGGTGCCAATTTCCTTACCAGGATGTCATTAATCCTTGTGTGTTTGCGTTGTCAGTGGTTGGATGTGTGTCATATTTAACACATTTGTGTGACTTATGATGCACCATATTTTTATTTATTTATTTATTTATTTATTTATTTATTTATTTATTTATTTTAACAAAGCATGACTTTAACTTATTTGTTAAAAGTGACATCGAGGTCACTTCCTTGCACAAGTTTTTTGGTCACCTAAGTACTGCTTGTAAGAATTCAGATTTACTTTGTTTTGAGTGACAGGTCCATCGAATGACCTTAACAAATTTCATTTATATACGTTTTTAACGATGCAAGTTTACGACATCGGTTTTAGTGTAGTAAATAATGAGACCTTTGTTACTTGCATACTTGCATTGTAAATAGTGACATGAGTACATAAAGGTTTGTTTGGTCAGTTTGACCAATGTTTGAAGGGCCATGATTGGCCGATTTAATCTGGATGATTCAACGGTTGGGCCCTAATTTCAACCATTGCAAATTTTACCTCTCTATTTGCATCGTTATGTGCAGCTTTTGAAAAAATTAACAAGCCCATTTTGACAATGTACGAAGGGAAAAAAAAAATCATATTTTTAATATGTAAAGAGTAGAGGTGAAACACTGTCAGACAGATGAAAATGAGCAGGTAAGTACAGTAAGTACCATATTTTCCGCACTATAAGGCGCACCTAAAAGCATTCAATTTTCTCAAAAGCCGATAGTGCGCCTTGTAATCCGATGGGCCTTATATATGGATCAATATTCTGATTTCCTGGACGTAGCATTTTGAATGTTGTGTAAAGCACTTTCTTCCAGCTGTAGTGGTTGTGAAAGCTCCATCTAAATAAAGCTGTATTGTATTGTATTTCCTTTAGCGTAGCTCCATCTAGTGGATTCATAACATAACCGCAGCCCTTATTGTGGCTTCTATTCTATGTGGTGCTCCCTACATATGAAAACCCTTTTAAAATAAGCCATTCATTGAAGGTGTGCCTTATACTCCGAAGCACCGTATAGTGCAGAAAATACGATGTTTTACTTTGTTACTTCCCACCCCTGCACATGGATGGTGTAGTACGTTCATGATCTGTAACGTTAAAGATGCACACTCAGCTAAGATTGGCTGACTAAACTAATCACTCATTATATTAAGAGAGTAATAGCACGGATCAACAGCGAATATGGTTTCCGGCAGCACATTGAAAACAACCACCTCCAGGCTTAATGACACGTTCAATTTCATGGTACCACTTTCCCTTTGGCAGATGGCTCATGTGACTGAGCTCAGGCTCGGCGGCGGTCGGGGCTCGTGGGGCGGAGCGACGCCCTCATCCTGTCCGGAGGTTGACCTGGAGGTCATCGAGGAGTATCTGCAGGAGCATTCACTAGAAGTCCAGCCTGCATACGTGCATGCCTCGCCTCTGAGCAATGTGGTGCAGTACGTCCACTCCCACCACAGCACCAGGATCATAGGTGAGCACGCGCCTGGCACATGAAAAGGAATTTACGGGACAGTGTATCAGTGTAGCTTCATGTACTTGCCTCTGCACAGAGAATAACTGGTCAGGTCAGCATGCCTATGAGTGGCACTGCGGTGCTCCTACGAAGGAATATGAGGAGCAAGCTCCACCTCCAGCCTGGCCCTGCTCCCATCAGAACCAATGGGTAAGGGCAAAGTCTCAGACCTCCACTTAGTCTATAACGTTTGCACCCTGCAAAATCAATGCCAATGGCAACAAGAGCTATGCTGAGCTTAGACTGCATTCAGAACAACCTTGAGCTCAAGAGAACAACGTTGAACTCGGTCATACTAATTACCATCTGACAGAAACAGTATATGTCAATTTTATTGAGACAGTATCAATTAAACAAGTTCTCTCAAAACATTTCACACTGCTCCTACATTAAAAAAAAAAAAAAAAAAAAAACAACTAAGCCTAAATTGTCTGAACACATGGGATTTTTTTGTTCTCAGCGATGGTGAGGCCGGTTAGAGACCAGTATCGTCGTCATTGTTGTCATCATAGGGCTGCTTCTGTTGTTGATATGGCTGTTTGTGCGCCCATTGTTCTCTCACCTCAACCCCTCTATCTTGTTTTCTCTCTCCTTCCACCCTCTGTCCCTCTTCTGTTTCTCCATCTCAAACCAACGTCGAAGGCAGATGGTCACTCTGTCGAGTTTGGGTTCTGTTCCAGCTTTTTTCCTTCAAGTGTGTTTTTGTTTTTTCTTGCGTTCGTCACCAAGCGCATGATCATGTAGGGTTCATTTGGTTTTCTTATGTTCATATTTTTATGAGGAGTGTGGTTCTTGAGGTGTTCAATGACTAAAGTGCCTTGAGGTAACTTCTGTTGTGCATTGCCACTAAATGAATAAAAGTGATTGCATTGCGGTGTGTGGGAATGGACTAAATGTCCTACTTGGTTTTATTTTATGTTTATATTTTTTACCATGACAAAATATTCCTGTATTTCCAAAACCACTGCTTTTCACGAAAAAAACCCAAAAAACTTTCTGAAATTACCAAACGCCTCATCATTAAAGTTGAGATATATATATATATATATATATATATTGTACTTTCCCACAACAGAACTCAAGCACAAATGGTAACATCATCATTTTGAAATCCAATATTGTATTATGAAGA